TGTGGAAAGCCCTGCCTGATAGGCAAGTGTTCTGAAGTTCACAGTAATGTGGTCAGAGCCCAGCAAGGACGCAGAGTCGCCAAGGTGCACACGCTCACCAGTGACCTGCATGTCTGCTGAGGGAGCTGGAGCTCGGGAAAGCTGCTGTCTGGAAAAGTAATGCAGGGCTGGGGAGACGGCTTGGCAGTCTAAGTGCCTGCCTGGCAAGCACAAGGACCGGGGCTCGATCCTCAGTACCACGTGCTATGCCAGCCACCAAGACTGGCTGTGGCGGGACATGCCTGTAATCCTAGTGCCAGGGAGGCTGAGAGGGGAGGATCACTATGAGTCTGAGCTGTGTAGTGAGGCCCTGTACCAAATAAATAAATAAAGATAAAAAAAAAAAAAAGTAATCAGGGCCAGGAATATAGCTCAGTGGCACAAGCACCTGCTTGGCAAGTGCAAGGTACTGAGTTTGATTCCCCATACCAAAAAAAAAGGAATCCCCTCTGGCCTCACTGTGCCCCAGAGTAACAGATTTAATGACAAGCCAGAGGACAGAAGGGCTTCTGTAGGGGGAGGGGGAGGGGGAGGGGGAGGGGAGGTCGGAGCCCTGGGCTCTGGGATCACAGCACACCCCACCCCACGTCCTAGACTTGGAACTTCCATCAGGTGGCAGCAGGAGAGAGGAGCCACTCACCTCCCAGACCCGGAGGGCTCCCGTGGGAGCCAAGGGTGAAGCCCACCGCTGCTGCAAGGCATACCTCACTGAGTGGCAGGCAGATGGAGATGCTGGCTCTGTGCTCGAGACCAGGCGGGGCTTTCCAAAGAGTAAGAATGCTGACAGGAAAGGAGGTTTGCCCTTCATCCAAAGAGCCCTCCTCACCATGGAGGTATGAAAGTCATGGAGTAAACACGCAAAGGACATGGCGCACAAGCCTGGAGTCCAGCTACTGGGGCAGCTCAGCCACAGGGTCATGAGTTCCAGGCCTGCTGGGCAACTTGGAGAAACTGTCTCCAGACAAAACAAAAAGGGCTGCAGCTCAGGGTCAAGTGTGTGCCTGGCACATGTAGGCCCTGGGTTCAATCCCTGGTCCCAAAGTGGGCAGTGGGGGACTATAAATTTGAGAAAAATGGGAAGGAAAAATCATCAGTGTTTGCTGATTTACTTACAAGGAGGAGAAACCACAAAGCAAAGAGCAGACTCCTCCAGGCATGGCTGAGTGAGAGTGGGGAGGTGGGTGCCGCACCTCGGGGGAGGGGTTCAAGCGCTGGCAGTGAGTCCAGCAGCATCATCGCTAGGCCCAGGCTGACCCGGGAAGGTGAGCGGAGGAGGGCAAGGCTGGGGCCAGGCTCTGGAGGCCCTGGGACAGCCAGCCAGCCAGCCAGCCAGGGCCTCTGTCCACCCTGCTCTCCACAGGGCCTGTGGCTTTTGCTGATACTGACGGTTCTGCCCTCAGTGCCCAAGCTCCACCGGCACCTGAGGCAGGGCCTGTGGCAATGAGGTTTCGTTAGGTGCAACTCACGCTATAGACCTTGTTCCTGTGGCTTCTTGGCTCTTCCTTAAAATTCAAGCAAATTTGGCTAAGCTGATGAGGACAAGAATCAGACACAGTATGTCTTGAAATATGCACAGCGAGAAAGGGGAAGGGACCCAAAGCAGGAGCCTACTGTGCCCATGGCACCCTGTACGTGCGCGGCGACATGGGCTGCTCTTCCTTGATTCCTTTCTGAGACGACCTCCCTTCCTCCTGTCAGTTCCTCGGGGCACAGCTCAGCGAACGCTCCTATCTCCAGCTTCCTTGGCCTTCCAGCAGCGTGTCAGCGGCCACAGGGCTGCGTGACAGACACCTGCTTCCTGGACGCCATCTCCTTGGCCCACTTTGGTCTCCTGCACGGGCTCTGGTCGGGGCTGCAGCTGCACGGTGCGGGGCTGAAGCCTTGGCAAACCTTCGGCCCGGGCCCTCACCACCTGGCTTCAGAGTATGGGCCTGGGCTGGGCAGCAACAGCACCATCCTGGAGCTAAGCAGACAGTAAGCTGGGGACCATCCGCTCTTCTGGAATGAGAGCCGCCCGGGGCCATCGGTTCCTGCTTCCTGGCCTCAGGTGTACCCTAGCAACAAGGGAATCCAGGCGAGTACTTCTGCTGTGTAGGACGCAACTTACTTGCCGCAACTCGTTCACTAAGTTTAATTGCAATTAGCATTTTATAAATAAACTAGGGTAGAAAAACGGTAAAATCCACCTTACTGTGAAGCTGAGATTTCGCAAACCTGTCTCAGTGCTGGGCCTATGCCTCCGTGCACGTGCGCAGGGACTAAGGACTGCAGCTGCTTCCAGGACTTGTGGTCCCAGAACTGCTCTGCTGGCTGAGCGCCGGCCGGACCTTCACTCAGTCCTGACCAGGGCCTTTCCTAGCCCTCCCGATGCGGCATCATCCAATGCACGTGTTTTCATAATGCCTTTTTGTATCTCACTTATTATTATTCTGCAGCACTATGTATTCAAACTAGGGCCTTCAACTTGGAGTAAATACCCAGCTTTTTAATCTTTAATTTTAAAATGGGGTCTCATTAAGCTGCTCAGGAAGGACTTGAACTTGCAATCCTCCTGCCTCAGCCCCCCAGTGTTGTTTTCATTTTCCTATTGCACTTTATCCACAGCACTCACCACTGTTTCAACTGTCTTCTCTTTATAGCTTTCTCCCCCGCTGGACTCTCAGCCCACATTCCCTGCCATTCCCACGGCCAGAGACCACGTCCCCCCCACCCCGCCCACGGCGCCTACTGTGCTGCCCAGCGGCGGCTCAGCCTTTGCCGGCTCCAGACGACCACGAGCATCTCACGCCTGCGGCCCGAGCCAGCGCCTTCCAGGCCTGGGTGCCAGCTGCCCCCCAGGGCTGAGGGCCGGGAGCGTTGAGCAGCTGCACTTCCTCACCTTGAAGCAGTGCTGCATCTCCAGACGGTGCAGCTCCGACAGAACACTGTCCCGAGCGCTTCTGGTTGGGGTGATGAGCAGCACATTAATTTGGGAAGGGTTACAGGGCAGAGAGGAGCCGGTGGGTCCTTTCCCAGGAAGGCAGGCTTGTGGCCGCCTGCCTGGACCGTGAACTTGGACCTCTGAGCTCTCCAGGCTCCCCACCACGCAGGGCTAGGAAGGGAACCCAGGGGAGGCGCCTACACAGCTGAACCAGCTTGGGGGAGCTGGACCCACAGATGTTACAGGCACAAGCTACCAGGAGGCCTCTGGCTTGCCGTGCAGGCCCTGCTGCTGAGGGGGGCGACCCCTGCCCCCAGCTGGTGTACCCTCGACCTCGCGGCTTGGAAATCGCTTTCACAGCTACTCCGCGCCCATTTGTGTGGCACAACAGTGTAGCCGGCGGCGAGGGGCTCTGCAGCCTGGTCCCTGGCCTGTGTGACTCTGCTGTGCTCCTTAAGAGCTCCGCAGAGCCTCAGTCTCCCTCTCTGTGCCGCCGGAGCCCCCCAGAGGTGACGGCATTGTTCACACACGCACAGGCCTCAGAACGGTGCCAGGACAGGACGACTCTCACTCCTACCCCGAGCTCTTTGCACGCCTGTGGCCTCAGCTGGCCCAGGAAGCGTGCCGGAGGACAGCCTGCGTCAGCTCGCTGATGAGCAAGCAGGAGCCAAAGAGGGGAAACAAGGTGTCCAAACACAGGCCACTAAGTGGTAGACAGGGACAGCCGAGCCCTCCTGGGAACCCAAACCAGGCCTCCTGATAGCCCGGCGAGCGAAGGCTGGCCGCCCAGCACCCGGAGGCCGCATCACCAACAGCCACATGTGTTCTGCGTGGCGTGTGTCTCAGCACTCAGGGCACTGCCAGCGCCCCGGTCATGGGCAGCACCGGCAACTGTCACGTGTCCCACGCCACAGAGGCCTAGGGCCACCGCCTGGCAGCCAAGTCAGCTGTTCCTGGACCCTGTGCCCTCCCTGCCAGTGGGGACCGACCAAGAGGAAGAGTATTGCCTCCGATTTGGTGACAGGCCCCTAACACAGTCTCTAAACGCACATAATATTCAACCAAGGTCTGTTCATAGACACAAAGAAATCATGGAGAAAAGTCAGGTAAGGTTGCATAGGAAAAACCGAGTTTTTCAAAGCCTGGTTGAACACTATACTTATGTATGTTTGTGTATTTTATTCCTATTTCATATTTCTCAATATAAAGTTATCTTACTAATGATTATTAGTAACACGGAGAGCACCAACACCTGCGCAGACGCACCGTGCGGGCCTCATCCCCACACGGCCTGGGGAGCGGGGCCTTGACGAGCTGTCAGGGCGCAAGGAGAAGTCAGCGAAACCCTTTCCGTACCGTAGAAAGGAAGCTCGCCCAAGGAGACACACATGTACATCCCGTTACAGAACCCATGCATGAAGACGTGGCTCAGGGGACTTGCATATATTCCTAAACTGTATGCCCATGACCCAGCTTTAGAACATTCACATCACCCCAAAGCAATTCCACAGCAACAGTAATCAGAACTGACCCTGTACACTGTCCACAAATAAAAACATGCCAATTCTTGGAAACAAAGTCTCCACTAAATACACATATAATGATGCAGATTTGCAGCACTGGGGATCCAACTCAGGACCTTGCGCTTGCCAGGCCGGCGCTTATGCTGCTGAGCTATAGCCCCAGCAAGGATGCCTATTTGATTCAGCTGGTGTGAAAGGAAATTGTGAGTTCTAAAGGATGGACAGGACTCGTGGCCATCCTGCCACGTCGAGGTTGCCTCAAGTGAGGGACGTGACCACGTTGACATTTGCTCACTCCACATAACAGCTTAGATTCCAGCCCCAGGATGACCAGGGACTCAGAGCAGAGGTCTGCAGGAAAGCCGTGTGCATGCAGAGTCCTCGAAGACCGGCTCTGCCAGTATTATGGAGAAAAGCTTGGAGCAGACTCCAGAGTTTCTGTGCACACTGTGAGGGACCCACGGCCTGCGTCTGCCCACAACAGCAGTCAGCAGAGCCCAACAGTGCGTCACACTCACCGTCGGGCTGGGCGGGGTCCTCTTCCTCCTGCTCCTCTTCCTCCTGCTCCTCTTCCTCCTGCTCCTCTTCCTCAGCCTCAGCTGGGGCTCGGTATGGGGGAGGCAGCTTCATGGGCGGCGGGGCTGCTCCTTGCCACTGAAACGCAGAATAAAATTGGAGAGAAGGGTTAGCTGCGTTCACCCACCCGGTTCACTCTGCACTCCACAGGTGCAAAAGGACTGCCTGGGGCCATCTTCACTGCAGCCAGTTTCGCTCCTGCCTTGAAGATGATAAAACTTGTGCTCTTAGGCTTCCATATTTCATAAGAGGGCTTTGATGTAAGCACACAAGAATCCAGATGCTCAGCTTTGAAGGCTGCTGACCTTCCCAGGGCGCAGCCTTCCCTGGGAGAAGGAATGCCTGGCACCTGCATTTTCTTTCAGCTGTGAAGTGCACCCTTCATTGTTAACATACTGATTTCTATCAAAGACATTTCTTTAGAAAAAACTGTCTGATGTACTAGTTCTGCAATTATTTCAATATTTTCTTCAATTAAGTTACAGATTTTATCCTTTAAAGATACTTGAAATAAACCATCAAGATTTTCTAACTGGAAAGGCATTATCTGTAGATGGTTGATTCATATTGCAATGTTTTAAAGAGAAACTATGTAATTATTTCTGCATAAATGAGCTTTTATATGTCAAATGAAAAAGCATAATAATACTTGAATTAAAGTAGAATAAAGCTCTATGATCAGGTTACCTTCATAGAATGGAGACATTCTCTTATACATGGAGAAAAAAAACATGCCCAACTTCAGAACCAGCTCATGCTGCTGCAGAACATGGGAGTGACCACGGGAGTGACCACGGAGCCACCAGGTAAGGGCTATTCTGCTGCTGCTTCAAGTGCATTCAACTTGTTCCACAGGACGAACCCACCAGTTGGCCTCGCCCAGGGAGCGGCTGCGGCACGTGCTCTGCAGGGAGTGGGCAGGGAGAAATTCCCCCAGATGGAAGAAAGGCCGCATTTGGGACTCACTGAGGAGCACGCGTGTTTAGCTGAGACGCTATCTAAAGAAAGCAGTGCCTCTACGTATTTGTAGAAAATCCCCAAATCAAGACACAATAGTGATGTGGAAAAGATGCCGCGGGGGAAACACGTATTAAACAGCAATACAAGAATGTGATCACAGAGACTCTGCAAGGCTTTCAAACTGAGGAACAAATATAAATCAAATGAAGAGAAAATGCAAACTTGCTTCCAGAGCTCTTTTTCTCAGAGCCAGCTTTGCTTGACATCACCGTGCTGGGAACAGGACGGAGTCGAAATTCACACCTGAGGCAGGCATTCCTGCGAGCAGGCTTGAAAGGTGCACCCACAGGGAGTCTGCGCGTGGCTTCGTGTGGCTTCCCAGTGGCCCTACGCATGTTTTCTTGAAGGACAGTGTGACATCCCATGACACCCTGCTGGGCCCAGGAAAGGCAGAGCTGGGCTGAGGCTCCCTGGGACAGCAAGGGGCACACAGCTGGGCAAGTGACATCACTCCCTTGGGCAGAGGACCCCCACACCCCTGCACCTCCCTCTAAGTACAGCCTGGCCCCAGGCACGTCCAGCAGGGTGGGCTGGCCACTGCACTGCACTTGTCGCTGTGCCGAAGGGGCCTGATGGGTAAATCCCGGGCAGAAGGCAGCGGTCCCCCGCGATTCTGGTGCAGTAGCACCTGTGCAAACCTCACCCAGAGAGGCAGCCCCTCTAGGGCCGTGCAGGGTCAGCTGCAGGGGTACAGCCCCTGGGGTACAAGCGGCCAGCTTGGTGTGGGCCACGGCTGGCCAGGGCCCTTCCCTCCGCACCCACCAACACCGTGCCGCACCCACTTGGTCCTGAGGTCTGAAACCTGGGCGCTCGGGCGCAGCTTCAGGAGCCGCACTTTTACTTCTTTGTTCTCTGGCTGTTCCGGGGCGGGCTCACCTTCCAGACCCAGCTCCCGCGGGGCCTCAGCCGCATAGCTGAGCAGCTGTTGGCCCATGCACACGGGTTCTCGGCTCCCAGAGGAAAGTATAATTCCAACAGATAACAGAACTTTACATTTTTTAAAAACCATGGTTTCTCGGCCTTTTATTCCCAATTCTGTTTTGTTTCTGACACTGGGTCAAGTACGGGTATGGGGCACCTGGTGACCTTGGCTCTGGTCCTGCAGTCACAGCAGCAGGAAGAGAGATGGATGCATGCTGGTGTTCTGTCCTGGTCACTTGGGGTGCTTGCTGGGCGTGTGGTATCTACTCTATGCCAGCCCCAAGGGGACCCAGTCTCCACTGCCTGAGAGACCACAGGGAGCACGTAGCGTGGGCCAGGCATTCTCGTTGGCTTGCTTGTGCCTTTGTACTTGCACATGCGTTGGGTCCCTGGGAAAGAGCACCTCTTGCCAGATACGGTGGCACACACCTGTAACCCCAGAAGCTTGGGAGGCTGAGGCAGGAGGATCCCCAGTCCAAGGTCAATCTGGGCAGTTTAGTCTCAAAATTTAAATTTCTTTAAAATTTGATACAGGGTCTTGCTGCGCAGCTCAGACTCAGTGATCCTCCTATCTCAGCCTCCCCCAGTTCTGAGACTGCAGGTGTGTGTCACCATACCTGGTCTGGGGGCCGAAAAGGCATGTCTGGGGTTTCGGGCTGGCATGGCCTGCAGTACTGGGAATTGAACTCAAGTTCTTGGGCTTGCCAGGCAGGTACTTAGACCGCAGAGCTATCTCCCCATCGTTTAGCGTCAAAATTTAAAAAGGGAACTGGGATGTAGCTCAGCATATAGCACTTTTCAAAATGCACAAAGCCCTGGGTTCATTCCCAGTGTGGGTGGGTGGGTGGGGCTGGCGGATTAAAAGCAAACAGCATAAACCATGACTTGGAGTGATGAGGACCTCTGAAGGGCCACCAGTTGCGCCCACGCCCACTGACTCTGAGGGCTGTGCCAGCGGCCTGGCACCCACACGCTGCCACACTGCTGCTCATCCGCCAACGCTGCCCTTGCTGTGGAAGGCGCTTTGCCACTAGGTGTGGGTCAGAGACTGAGGACCCGCGCAGGGCTGGGCGGACTAGGACACGCTGGGATCCCCCGGCTCATGCCCTCAGGGCTGGGCTGCACCCCGCTGGACAGGTGTCACCTAGGGCTCCCTGGATCCCAGGGTCTTCGCTGCTCACAGAGCCCCAGCGCGGGCAGCACCCAAGACTGGGGCAGTGGGCTGCTCACCTTGGCTCCCTGGGGTCCTACAGGTAGCTTCCCGAGCCCTGTTCCCAGCCTCTCCTCATGGGCAGTGGCTTTGGTCCCCAGAGACGGACCCCTGCCCCTTTCTTTTCTTGTCCAGCCTACCACAGCTGTGGGGGAGGATCTGGGTCTTGGATCAACAACTGAATCCATTAAATCCCAGCACTGAAGGAGGCTAAACTTTCTGGGAAGCCCTCTAACCACATAGATATGGTGGGTAATATTTACAACGAGTGGCTCCTAACACATGACTAGGTTTCACCAACTGCGAATCCCACCTCTGTGGGGCACAGGAGGTGGCCCATGCCTATGGGCACTGCCAGTTGCTGCCCCTAAAGCCGAGAGATGCTGTCTGTTCAGGGACCCTGCATTCACTCACAGCAATGTGCTTCATGCCTGTCAGTCACAGGCAAACTCTGGGCAGTGGGATGGGGGGACACAGAGCAGAGGTGCCCTGCCCCCCAGGCCGACACTGGGGCTCTGCGGGCCGTGCTACACAGGTCTCCCACCGTGTCTTGAGCAGCTGCCAGGTTCTCTCCTGGTGGCCCTGCCACCCTCGAGGCCAGGTGTGGAGGACGGAGACTCTGACAGGTCCCAGCCTGAGTACCAGCTGCTACGTTTTTATGGCCCTGACTCCGCATGCTTGAACCCCAGACACAACCGCTCATCTTTCTGCCCCTTTGCCACCCAGTCCTGGATCCCTTTCCCATGCACACAGGGGAGCCCCCAATCAGCTCCGTACAGGTCACTGAATGTGCCCCTCAAACTGCGCCTCCGACGGAGGAAGTCCATAGGCTCAGCCTTCCTGTCTCAGGTAGGAGGACCCCCTCTCCCTCAGATCCTCTCCCTGTCCTCCTCAATGGCACAAAAGGCGCACTCTCTTCTTTTACTTCTCTGTTCCACCCAAAGCTAACGCTTGGTGCCTTGACACAGACCAGAGAGCCTCGCAGCTGCAGGCGTCCCCGCTTTTGCGCTTCCTCAACGAGTTACTTTCCTGCTCTGCTTGCCTCTGCCCTCTGCTGTTGCTAGCGTGCATTCAACACTGTCTCATTTCTCACGGGGGAGCCACTGCTCAGTTCTTGGGGTTTCCTGTCTTGGTTTTTCAATCTCAGTCTCAGAAATTGTGAGCCCACGTTAGGAAATCCCTTATATCCCCATCACATCCTGAAGCTGCCCTTAATCCCTCAGGCAGGGCTACTTCCCTCCAGCCCCAGGGCAGGGCACTCCTGCTGCCCATCCCTGGCTGGGAGGAGGGCTTGGTGCACAGGGATGGGACCTCACAACTCTCTCTTCCAGCAGACTAGGCCCTACTGGAAACGTTCCTTCCCACCCTCCAAAAGACACACCGCTGAGATGCCTCCTTCATAATCCTGACTTCCTGAGCCTCTGGGAGGTCATACAACTTAAAGTTGATCTTTTACTGCCAGATGGCTTGGCCACAATATAAACTTGACAAAGGCAGCCAGTGGCTGGAGGGAAAACATCTGACCCCTTATAACTTGTGTTATCACAAGGGCAAATGGCCAAAAGTCCCTTAAAAGCCTTACTGCTCTCCAGACACATCCGTCCCTCAGGCCTGTGGAGGAGACCAGAAACTTTGGCTCTTTCCTCACTGCTGGCCTCCCTTGCCCGGCCCTCCTCCCTGTGTGGAGCCACCAACACTTGGAAATCTCTCCCTCTGCTCCCCTTTTGCCCTGCTCTTGGTCCTGCTCCGCCCTCTCCCACCAACCTGTACCCCAGTCTTTGTCTCTTTTTCCTCCAAGTTTCTCACTTGGGGACAAAGTGTGACCTAAGAACAGCGAATGTCACACTCTTCCCTGGCCAGGTGCACACCTCCCTCTGCAATCAGGTGCTCAAGCCAGCAGTGGGGGGCGGGGGACAGCAGCCGACAG